CTTCACGGTTTCCTTGGGAGGCTGAGGCAGGAGGGTGCCAGGCTGGAGCCTACCTAGCCTTGGAGGCTTCATGAGACCCCGCATGGGCACGCGAACCCAAAGGCGCTGGGCTCAGCCTGGGGGAACTGCGCAGCCTGGGGTTCCTTCCCAACACCGCCAGCGAAGTGAACACAGCGGCGAGCGGAAGCCGGGCGAACGGTGCAGAGGAGCACACGGCTGGGCTCAGCGTGGACGCAGTGCCGGCCCTCACACGCACCCCGCCCGCCCTGAGCCGGCCACCTGCGGGCTCTGCGCCCCTGCTGCCGGTCGGGATGCTGCAGTCGGCCCGCACTGACCCCGGCCACCCTGCAGGTCATCCAGAGAATCTTCTACACTGTGAACAGGTCCTGGTCCGGCAGGATCACGTGCGCAGAGCTCAGGAGGAGCAGCTTCCTGCAGGTGAGGGGCAGGAGGTGGAGGAGGAGATGGGGAGAAGACAGGAGAAGGAGATGGAGGAGGAGGAAGAGGAGGGGGAGGAGAGGGAGGAGGAGGGGGAGGAGAGGGAGGAGGGGGAGATAGAGGAGACGGAGGACATGGAGGAGGAGGAGATGGAGGGTAAGGAGGAGGAGATGATGGAGGAGGGGGAGGAGGGAAGAGGTGGAGGAGGGAGATGGAGGAGGGGGAGGTGATGGAGGAGAGGGAGGAGGGGGAGATGGAGGAGGAGGAGACGGAGGAGATGATGGAGGAGGGGGAGGAGGGGGAGATGGAGAGGGAAGAAATGATGGAGGAGAGGGAGGAGACGGAGATGCTGGAGGAGGAGGTGGAGGAGGTGGAGATGGGGGAGGGGACGAGTGGGTCCGGCCCGCACCGCGGTGGCAGCAGGGCCAGCACAGCCCTCTGCGGGTGGCGCTGCCCACAGAACGTGGCGCTGCTGGAGGAGGAGCCGGACATCAACCAGCTGCCCGAGTTCTTCTCCTACGAGCACTTCTATGTCATCTACTGCAAGTTCTGGGAGCTCGACACTGACCACGACCTCTTCATCGACGCGCAGGACCTGGCACGGCACAACGACCACGGTGAGCGCGAAGCCGCGAGGCCGGCGAGGCTCTGGGCGAGGCTGGTGGGCGGCCCGGCGGGAGGAGGTCGCAGGCCCGCCTGGGGACTTGGGGCGGCGCCTGCCTGGCAGCCGTCCGTGCAGCTTCCCAGCCCTGCGTGGGCCCGCCCTGCGGCGGCTGCGAGACGGGCTCGTGTGGGGGTGAGCTCGGGCTGGGCTCTGGGCCCGGGCGCCGAGGGGTGCGGTGGAGGCCCGGCGTGCCCGCCGCTCACCGGTGCCCTCCGCAGCCATCTCCTCGCGGATGATCGAGCGCATCTTCTCCGGCGCCGTGACGCGGTAGGTGCGGACGGGCGGGCAGGCGGGGACCCCGGGCCTCCCCACGGGCTCCTTGAGCCGCTGTCCAGCGCACTGACCGCGCCCCCGGGCCCCCCAGAGGCCGGCGGGTGCACAAGGAGGGCCGGCTCAGCTACGCGGACTTCGTGTGGTTCCTCATCTCCGA